AAATTCGCTCATTGCCCAAAATAAAAAAGGTCAAATTTGAAGTGAAACACGTATCGTGTTCCTCCCCTGTCTCCTCCTACTCACCCAATGGCTCCTCCTTCCCTGTGATTCTCCTCCCTCCCCTGTGCTCTCCTCCCCTGTGATTCTCACCTCCTCCCCTATGCTCCTCCTCCCCTGTGCTCCTCCCTTCCCCCTGTGATTCTCCCTCCTCCCCCTATATGCTCCTCCTCCCCTGTGCTCCCTCCTCCCCCTGTGATTCTCCTCCTCCCCTGTGCTCCCTCCTCCCCTGTGCTCCCTCCTTACCCTGTGATTCCTCCTCCTCTATGCTCCTCCCTCCCCCCTGTGCTCCTCCTCCCCTGTGGCCTCCTCCCCTGTGCTTCTCCTACTCCTGTGCTACTTCGCCCCCTGTGCTCCTCTCCCCCTTTGCTCCTCCTCAGGGCCGGATTCAGAGGAGTGGGCAAAGTCAGGCAACTGCTTGAGGGGCCTCCCTATGTGCAGTAGCTCAGCTATATCAGGGCTGGTCGACTTGAAACCACATGAATGACTCCAGTCATGTCTCACGTTGTGTGTGTGTGTTTAGGAATTTGCACACCATCAATAAATATACAGTTAATTAAAAATTTCTCAATGTTCTAATTTCCTTAATATAACTGCATATGGCTTCAAATTCTCCTCCAAGAGTGTTCAAATTTAAAAATTTCGGGGGCTTACAGGGCCCCCGGAACCTCAGATGTTTAGGCTTGCTTCCTCGCCATCGCACTCTCTTGAGTGGTTATAATGAGGGGGCCTCCTGAGGCTGCTTATGGGCCTCCTGAGTCCTAAATCCGGCACTGGCTGGAGCGACTGTAGTATACGGTGTACAGAGGTGGAGTTGTGTCTACCGGGCTACTTACACAGTAGCATCCATTAATATAACCTAGGTTAGGTTCAGTATCTGTAGTTCATACTCTAATGTGTACTTTATTGTATTACAAATGTTGTTTCTCTTGTTTTCTGGTGTAATGTATTAATAAAGCCTCCAAGTGCTCAACTCTACGATACACAATGTATTTTTACTGAACATGTGATGAATTCCCAATAAAGATCAATAAATCAGTCGAAACTGTCTCTTTGAAACCTTTTTGAGACGTTAATAATAACAAAAATACGATCGTTTTCAGGATTCTAATACTACTAAAAGCTCTAAAAGCTGCTAATAAATAAAGCACATTATGTACATAAAACTCTTGTTAAAGAATCAATACAACTTGACGATAGTAGTAAGCTAATAGGGCTACAAACATACAAAAATAAATAAACAGGAGGATAGGACCACCACTGAGCCACGACAGACTTAGTTATTACACCTTAACGTCATTCTTAAAGCTCAAGAAACTGCATTAAAATTGGTCCACTCTGTATCTGTATTTTTCTGGTTAAATAAACTGTTTCAATATCAAGTGTGGACGAGCTGCTCTAATCTCGGCTCACAGAGAGTTGGCAGAGCATATTACCTATAAGAGAAGAATAAAGGTTAATATAACTTACGTCCGTCTCGGTCCAGTTGTTAAGACTCTTCTGCCATTATAAGGGTCCGAGTTTGGTTCTTGGTGCTTCTCTATATTTTTTCTTATTTTCTTTCATTATGGAGAATTATTTCATGATGTTATTCCCTATAAGTCAATTGGACGATGAATTTGATCTGTTTTAATATATATTTGAGCTGCCCCAACCCTTCAGCGCACAGTAGGGAGGGGACCTGAAGTATAAGAGAGAAATCAAAATTTATTTTAGAAGCGCTTTAGTCCAGTAGTTAAGATTTACACTCGCCTTCGAGACGGGTTCAACTCGGCCTTTCTCTTTTTTTCTTTCTATTGTTTTCTTTATAGGACGCTGTTTTGCTGCATTATAAAGTTAATCAAAAGTAAATGGACCATAAATTTGACGTTTTCGTGTTTCGGATATTAGTTTGACGAATGCTTCAATGAACAAAATGATCAATGAAGCCCGTGACGTCACTGAACCTTCATATAAATGCCTCGACTAAGCGTATCAGGCCCTTTCTTACCCGACCACTCACCACTCACGACTGCAGCTGACAGGCAAAGCCAAGTCACACCTCGCCTCTAGTCTCCATATATTATTTCAGTAATATCGTGTGTAATTTTTTTCGGTAATAGAAGATAAATGGTTATTCTTTGGGATAGTGTTTAATATAGTTAATTTGGCATAAAAATGTTTAAGTAAAGTTGCGGCCAGTTGTTGGAGCAGTTCACTTGTCATAGGCTGCTCCCCAAGTTTCACTGGGCTGTAAGGCCTATGGTACCTACTTTGGCAAACTAATACATTTATATGGTTTAGTATTATATTGCGTTTCTTTAACGTCTAGTCAGTAATTATTTAATGTTTTTGTTAAATATACCGCCAAATGAGCCATGACAAACGGGTAACTTGGCGTAAACCGTACACCAGTATTTACGTAATAATTAACCAGTAAGTGAGTACAATGACCAGATTAGGTTAAAGTACTAAATTATTTAATTTTTAATTTCACATTTCCCTCTGTGACTGTTGGTGGTCATAACTCAATATTTCAAATTCATCACCACCACTGTATTCATTAAAAATATATAATGACTCAGTTTAAAAAAATATAACTCTTAAACTGATTTATGGGAGTTGAAAGTAATAGTTTGTTCTGGTGAAGGCAGGCCAGGGGCAGGTGGTGAGACCAGGCGGGCGAGGTGGGTGAAGGCAGGTGGGCAGGGAGAGAGCTGGGCGGGGTGGGATGGGGTGAGAGCCGGGCAGGGTGAGATGGAACGGTGGGGCGGGGTGAGAGAGAGTTGGAGGTGGGGTGGGGATGAGAGGCAGACGGAGCAGGGGTGAGATGGAGCGGGTGGTGAGGTGAGGGTAGTGAGGCGGGTGGGTGGGGGTGAAGCCCAGGCGGGGGTGAGGCCAGACAGGGGGCGGGGTGGAACGGCCGGGCGAGACTTTACCATCAGTTGTTTCTTCTTTCTTCCATTTACATTAATTTTACTACAGGTACAACCAGGGTCTTATTTTTCAGTTTTGGATGGAAAACCGCGTCTTGAGTGTAAACACTAACTAAAACAACGCCATCCCGTCTCCTCTTGTGTGACTCATTATTAGTAATTTATATTGTATAAGGTGCATTAATAAATTAATAAATATAATTTAAAGAATATAATTTTTATTGTTCATTAATTTTACTGTTTGGGGAAAAAAGGGGTAAAAAGCCACACAAAAGATGTGAAAAGGTCACACTTGGCAATGCCTTTCATTATTATTGCTTATTTTAATGGTAATTAATGACTCAAGATACGACGATTCACCTTACACCACAATGTTGGAGGACACATTACTGTCGTAACTGCTGTATAGTACAATGAAACTCTTAGTGTGACACTGCTGGGATAATTGGTGAATGTGCATACACAAAAGTTTTGGCGAGGAAATGAGTTATAGAACTTATTGTACAGACAATGCATTAAAAATAATATACAGTAGGGTCTCATAAGACAGATTTGATAATACTGTAAAGTACATGGTAATAAATGTCACTAATTATTTGCTGAAAGCTGATAAAATTAAATTTCATGCTGGTTAGCTCAGTCACATACTATACTTACCACTGCTCACCTCTCAAGCAGTAGCCTAATCCACCCACCCACACATCAATGGGTTTACTCTACACAATATTGGTAATATATTAATTTTTCAATACAATAAATACTCTTGATATCTTTCAACATTTCATTCCACATAAATCCTGAAATATGACGTGATTGCCTTCTGGTCTTTTGGAAGAGGTTTCTTCTTGTTATTTCTCTTAGCAACCTTCTTAGCAGGTTTCAATTTTTCACTTTCTGATTTCTTATCAACATTGGATATATCAGACAGTAGAGATCTCTTGCTGCACTTTTCTTTTGTTGTCTCATTAACTGTCTTCTTATTTATTGTCTTGCTCATAGAAGTCTTGACCAATGATGACTCACTTACTCTTTCCTCTTCCACATCCTGTTAAAATAGAAAACAGATCTAGTTATATTCACATGTCGATAAAACAGGCCAATCTTGTCGTCCATTCTTAACAGTAACGACCAGTAAAGTGCTATTCCCTGTATGGAAAGTCTCAACCTCATGTCTTATTAACAACACACACTAATATCAGAAACCAATGTTTGTTTCTTGGTAAAATTTTTAAGCAAAAGCCAAGAACAGAGAGACAAATATGATTAATATAAAGTTTACAGGGAGGAAGAGGTGAGGATGAAGATAAAATGATTAGACTAAACTTTTGTGTGTGTTACCAAATTCTCCCAACATACCTGTGTCTGGGATACTGACTCTACAATATCTCTCCAGTGTTGATCAGGTTTCTTCTTTTTACCCATAGCCTTGAGTGTAGGTCCAATGATCGGAGAGGTTGAGGGAAAGTTAACTGTTCCTTTGTTTATGGGGGAAAGATTATGAGGAGCCCAGGCACATCCTGAATAGTACCTGCAAGATTAAGATTCTGTGATGTCTGGAATTGATTTTATAAATTAAAATATTGTAAAAATAACAACTTGTAAAATGGGTGACTAGTCTACGCAAAATTTTTAAGTCATCTATAAAGACACTGCTTCACTCCAGTTGTTGACCGTTAGGGACACTGAAAACCCATCGTAAGGTGATTGATCGTATATCGACATTAATAACTTGGGGGAAAAATAGGTTCCGTTCCCGAGACCCCGAAGAGCCAGAATTAGCACTCAGAGCAGTAATTTTTCAATTCTTAATTTTGGGTAAACATGTAATTTTCTTCTTCTTTTTTTTTTTACTGTTACATGCACACACAATCTTTCATACAGAATTTGAAAAAAATTATTATAAGGTCACAAACATTTCTTACATACGTGGGAGTTATCACAAAGAGTGGGGGAAGGGGGGAGGAAGGGGAGCAGAGTAGAGGGGTGGTTCTCAGCTGTTCTCTGTCTCATGTCCCATGTCACAATAGTCAAATGGCAATACAAATTTATTTTTTTTTGTATATTTTTATTTTTATTTATTCCTCACATTTACTGGTACAATATATATTAGAACATAAGAACATAAGAAAGTGGGATAGTGCAGGAGGCCGACTGGTCCATACAGGGCAGATCCCTTTCACACCCATCCCAGCACTTCCATGTGCCTATCCAACTTCGTCTTGAAGCTCCCTAGCGTCCCCGATCCTACTATAGCACTCGGTAGCCTATTCCACATATCCACAACTCTATTACCAAACCAGTGCTTGCCTATATCCTTTCTGAATCGGAATTTATCTAATTTAAAGCCATTTGTTCTAGTTATTTCGTTATTACTGAGCTTCTTCCACACATGATCCATCCTCTGGGCAACGTGATACAGTTCAGCTGCTCAGCCTGGCAGTCACTGTGGACGGGGAGAGCCTCCCACGTGGGTCACATGTGTTACACCATTCCAAGATTGTGTCATCATACCTTGGAATATTGCAAGTTATTGTACATCACATTTTCATACCAGTGACAATGCAAGAAAAGTATTCAGGTGGCCATCGGGTAATGGCCATCGTAAATCTCATCTTAGCCAACGCATAGTGGTATTTGGTGTTAATTTATTAACATCGTAAAACTGATCAATTGCATATCAATCAATAAATCGACGGTCAGCACCTGTGTATAAACTTAGAACCCAATTTAAGAAGATTTGATTTGCAATTTTAGTTATGAAAATTAAAATTATTTGATTTATGAGTGACCCCCCCTCCTCCATGTAAACATAGGCTGATACAATAGCTCATCAGAGGTCAAGTATGTTATATTTTGGGGTAGAGAATATATCAACAATTATATAATGTTATATAATGAGAGACAGAGAAAATCTGTGCATCAGTTTATGTGAGGTTTACTCAGGATCATAATCCTTTAGTAAATCGGGGTCTGCCTATAGTACAGTACTCCCCTTTTGGTTTCATTGCCATGGGGCTCATGGAACATTCTTAAGGCCAAGATCTGTGCAATTGATTATCAGCTGTGTCTTTCCTTTAGGCTTCATAAAATATTCTAAAGGAGAAAAATACCCTGAACTTACTTTTCAGGCACTGAAGCAGGTGTGACTCCACAGCCAGTTTTCTTCATGACTCGCTTCAGCAAAGAGTCTTCTTCATCTGCAACTTCCATATCTCTGTTTTCAGCTTCAGCTGGGGATCTAAAAGAGATAATCGAAGATGATTGATAGATTGATTGAGTGATTGTGGTAATTACATCCTTGGCAACGCAACAGTTTAGTTCATATTAAGGCTTAAAAGACTAAAATAAAATAATGCAAGATAAAAAGACAATAATTAACAGTGTCCTTCTCCATATATATATACAATAGAAGTCCAAAAATCTGGACTGCTTGGGGATTGGGTCGGTCCGGATTTTCGGATTTTCCGGATTCTCAGGCAGTACTTTTAAAATTCAAATTTAAGGAGGAATAAAGAAGAGATGAACAGGTACATTTTGATAGTTTATTCATGCGCAAATATAGCATGGTTCATTTATCAAAACGAGCAGTTTAAAAAAAAAAGCTGTGAAATCTAGAATTTTATTCTTTGCCTTTTTTATATCATAAATTGTAGACTTTCCAACGTCGTATGTTTCCATTAGAACAGTATTGCTCACACCACGTTCTAGTTTCTTAATTATTTCAAGTTTGTCACTCAATTTCAACGTGTTCTTCTTTCTCTTCACGCAACGAAGTTTATCTACTTTAAGAGCCATTATTATGGGCTTGTACAGGTCAAGAGGTAAAAGGTAATTTTTGTTGAGAAAAATAAATTTACGACATTCTAGACATAAGTAAACCGACGACATTTTGAGAGGCTCACTAACCTGAAGAGTGATAACACAGTAGGGATCCTGATTGGTGAGGAATATTTCTTTGAACTGTTGCACTGAGTCAAATAGTTCTCACCCAGTGCATCCACAATCCCTGTGTCAGAAAAATGGCCGCTAGCTTCATCACACAGCTGAATTAAGAGCTGAAAATTCATAAAAAAAATTACTTACAAGTACAGTACGGCTCTCTAAAATAAGAACTATATTTTCTCATTAAATAATACAAAAACTTAATACTGTAGTCATAAATTACTACATATACAACATAAGATGTATGAGTAATACTATGTAACTATTGTATTTATATACAGTATGTACCTGGTATATGCTTAACTTCATAGTTAACTACAATTATCTATAAATTGTGCCAATGTTGTTATAATCTACATCAAACTATTAAATTTACTACTACCGATTGTTTAATTTGCATAATAGTACTGATACTTTTATCATTTTCGCCACTCATTGGCTCGTTAGCCGCTTGGGCAGTCATTCACGTCTTTGTTACACACTGTTAGCATGTACTGGGCATTCACTGCCTAATGAATGTATCTGAACCTGCTCCAGTGTTGGTCAAGTCTGGTCTTGAGAGCAGTAACATTTGAGCCATGTAACTCGGATTTCACTTAAAAAGGTTTTCTATTTAAAACTTTTTAACAAACTATAATAGATAAAATACTTACATATAAATATCCAGTAACTATACTTAAATGATTACAAAATAATTTATATACCCTGGAGGTGGTCAGCCTCCTTCATAATCTCAAAACTCCAGCTCTGGAGATGAAACTTCTATTCTGAAAGCCAAGGTTAGGTGGTAGTTACCATCCTCTCTCCAAGTCCTCTTGGAATTTCTGTCTAACATGGTGGTTACAAGCAAAATGCCTCCAGGCTGCCTTATCTGATCATGTCTCCCAAATGTGATCCATTCCACTCACTATTTCTCTCCTTCCTTCCACAATACTTGCTGTTTTTCATCATCCTTGACTCTGTTACCTTACAACTCACTTGTTATTCTGCCATTATTAAATCAAAGTTAATTCACTAAAGCTATTCTGTGGGGTAACATCTTGTACAGTATCTTTAACTTTCCAAGTCATCAGTACTGTTTTACAGCCATTTTCTGTGCCTGCGTATGTTAGCCATGATTACTTGATTGCATGTCCCCAGATGCCATCAGGCACTTTTGATGTAAGTTTTATTGCTGGATGCCCTTCCTATCATCAACCCACTTTTACAAAGTGGCAGCTGACCATTACCTGTAGGACTTTAAAGCACCCTACTAGCCAGCAAGGCAGGGTTGCCACTCTGAGGTAATCCGAGATTACCCATCTACCTGAAAAGTATTTTTCTCTCGTCTCCTCTGCCTCTGATTGACCTCAGAACCAACAGGTTCCTCATTGCTCACTCTCAGCTGCTAAAGCCTAAGCTCCACTCAAAGAATTCATACATCTGAATGCTAGAGCTGTTTGTTCCATTCCCAGTCCAGTTTTCTTTTTCTTGTTACCATCGGTCGGGTGGAGTACTTGTGTTCTCAGCCCTGCCTCTACAGCTATGGTTATGTTCACCCCATTTGTAATCCATCTCAAGGTGCAATAAATCTCCTCCCATGTATCAAGCTGTTTTCCCATCTACTGTTTTTTTTATCAAAAGCAAAAAAAAAAAAACTTAAGAAAGGCACAGAAAGCCTATTTACAGTAAGCCCTTGTACAATAGCACATTATATAACGCACCTAAAGCTTATGAAGCTGTCCTTCACCTTATTATTCTTTGACAAGAATACTGTAATAAAAATATATTGATTTTATTGGTCTTGTGTTAATACTGTACTTAACATATAAATAAAACAGCCCATAGAACAAAGTAAACAAGCAAAGTAACTATACTAACCCTGAGGCACGGTCGCAGAGACCCAGTTGTCTGATGCAGCTTTATATGTGTCTCAGGTTCATCTGCTTCAGGAGCCATGTCCAGCAGATGACTCAAGGCTAAGTTAAGGCTGCCCCACACCTTCTCTATAGCACTCTGTTTGAGAACACGGCCTCTCATTCGTACCAGAATGGATTTAATTGCCGACAAAATTTGTAATGCAGCTTTTCTGGAAAAGGAAATACTGTAAAAGACTTGAGGAAAACAACAATGAAATGGGCATGTTGTGTAAGCGATCCAGGCTTGTTACAGGAGATCAGCTCTATAGTCATTTAACTACAAATGATGGTCTAATAGTAACTCTAACGACTCATTACCATTGTTTAAGGCTACTAAATCCCTTACCACAATAGAGTACATAATGACAGGTGCTGGCCCCTGTGACCAGTGTAAGAGCAAGAGTCATAAACAGGTGTAATTTACAGTGTAGAAAAGGACAGAATTTTTATAGCCAATATTCCCAGAGCTTAGAGTCAGAAAGTGAGGAATGGTAGTAACAAAACTAACTACTGTACAGTACTAAAACTATAAAATCATCAAGACAGACAGGACAGTAGAGTGACCTGGGTTTCATGGGCCAAAGTCTAAATTGGCATTTTTTGACATTGGCCCTTTTTATACTCAGCCAGAGATATGTACAATAGCTAAAACAACTATCTGTGCAGGTGGGAGTCGATATGCTACCGAAATTTTACGTGTGACTAGTGACAGCTCCCGTATACCAAAAGTTATCGTCCATGGTCTCATATTGTTTCCCACAAAGTATGCACAGATAGTTGTTTTAGCTACTGTACTTATTCCTCACATTTATGGAGCAATACATTAGACCGAGGAGGGATAAAGGCTCCACTTCTGCGGATGCATAAAACTAAATGTCACAGTTGATGAAATGGAAATCCGCTGTTTGCGAGGGTCTACTGTATACACAAAAAATTTTCATTAAAAAAGGTTCCGAGACAGTTTAAGAGGTTTTGGGAAGTACGTATATTTTTCAGAGAAACATAATCTCGGCTTAATAATGGGAGTCTACAGGAAAATGTGTTCCGATTTACGAGAAAGTTATCCATGAGACTTCTCAGGATCGGAACCCCTTTATAAACTGGTGAATGTCTGAACCTGTCAAAAGATTAAACTGGAATCATAATCACTATATTTGGCTTGCAAATTATTTTTTTCCTGCCTGCATCTCCTGCTTTTCAGTCACTCTCACATGCAAATTACCTGTACATTCCAAATCTATTTCCCACATAGCCTGATCATAACTCCTACATAATCTGGTTATATTCCTGTAATTTATACACATTCCTGTATCAATTCCTATATATGATAATTGGTATATATTCCTGTAGTACATAAATTTCTATGTAATTAATATACATTCCTGTATCAACTCCTACGGATTGATTATTTTCTTGTGTTGTTCTTCCAGCTATGACTTCACTTAAGCCTCCCACATCACCCATGTACAGTATCAATCAATATCAACGTCACGTTCAAGGAGTCAATCTACATGGCTCTACAAGGAATCTTCACAATAAACTCTCACAATTTTTCATAGTACAGTAAACCCTCGAAAATCTGGACCCGGGAAATACAGATTTCAAAAGATCCGGACAAAATTTTGGGGGTTCTGAGATAAGAAGCCCCCTAGAAGTTTCCCTAAGAAACATCTCCAAACCAGAGCTAAGATCATTTTAGGCCTGTGGGCACTGTTTGACCCGAGGAGGTGGGAAACATAAACAGAGTTGACAATTGTTGTTTGTGGGAATATTATTTCATTCACTCTAGTAATGATACAATGTTTCTTATTATGTTATCATAGGTAAATGCCTGGTTTAGATACGGTAATTTGTTTATCACTACATTAGTACTGTATTTTTGGCGTTTCTTATATCATTTAATATTCGCCGGAAAATTCGGACAATCGGCCTTTCCGGACAGGTGGTCCCCCTTTTAGTCCAAATCTTCGAGGGTTGACTGTAATTTACTCATAATCTGGAGGGAAAGATTTTTTTCCTTCTTCTCCTTCTCTAGATTAATTACTTATAGGTACTTGTTACTGGAGTAAGACATGAACCACATCAAGGAAAAATTATGGGGTAAAAAAGATTAAAATAAAATCATGAAATAAGGAAATACGAGCCAAGATTCCTTAAATATTCTATGGCCTATGAGCCTGAAAAGATGTTCTGAATTGAGGTTGACAAGGGATTAGTAATATACTATCATTTTGCCGGATATATGAATCGTATCATAAAATATCAATGCTCTTTTGTTTTCTTACCGAAGCTCAGTGATTCTTTCCCGCTAGATTCAAATAGAGAGCCAAGATGATTTATTTTAAATAGCCTGAACATGCATTAGGATGTGAAGGGAAAGTCATATTTGTTGCCATGATTCAGAACTACCAAGTCTAGTTGCTGTCTCATCTTAAATAAGACAAAAAATTCATAAATAATATAAGAAAGTCCAAAGGTTATGTAATTGAGTAAAGATTAATATTTTGTTTTAATTTAATCCCACACTTTTGTTTCATAGTCCTACTTGTTTGTTTAGATTGTAAGGTCTGCATCACCTGTCCTAGATGGTTTTATGTCAAAATTCTCAGTACAGTACTAAAGATCTACCTCCTCTTCCTCCAGTTCCCAGCATAACGAACAAATAGAGACGACACAGACCCGACAAAGAGATCACCAAGAACACTTACCCTGGGTTTGGTTCTTCCTCTACAATGTTCTGCAGTTTCATGAGGGAGTCAACAAATTCTTCAAGAGGCTTAACATGGAGTAATACTGGATTATTTGGCTCTGTCTGGTAGCCCTTCCCTCCTAGCCTCTGACGCATGATGAATGACAATACCGTCTGGCAGAAAAAATCCTCCACTCAATAGTTAAATGTTAATATGGCATGAGGAATATACAGATTTAGGAAACTTTTAACACAATCAGATTTCTTCTTTATAATCATCTTTATCAAAGTTGTGGCAAGTAATCGAGATTAGAATGCCGACATTTTGAAATAGAGTACATGCACAGTACCCTGTTTCGGAGTACTGTACAGTACTTAACTATGTAGTAAATTCTATAATAATGATAATACAATCCATGGAGACATATGCCATACAGGAGGAAATTCTCTATTACTTCCACAGTGACACCAACAGCCAGGGAAATGTAGTCAACATATCTCTGCCTTAGAATATATATTGCTCATGGCGACTAAAGTATATTTAAAATGGAGCTAGAAAAACCAAAATATACAAGGTATGTCTGTAGGAGTGAAATGACTAATTACGATATACAGTACAGCCTTATTTGATGCAAGTCATATCATATGCTACTCAACTAGGAACCTCATACAGTATATACATAAAGAGGTGAAAAATGCCACAGTGTAATGATGAACATACCAATCTACCTATTGCAGTACAGTATGATTAAGTATATCTTACCTGATACATAGGCATGTTTTTCTTCTGAGCTTCAACTCTTATGTCAGTAAAGCCCTGTTGTTTAATTTCTCTTCCTGGCATACTACAAGCTAGAGTAAATGCCATCTCATCGCGAGTATTTATCAGAAGCCGGAGATGTGCAAATATTAGTTTCTCTATGTAAGACTCCGATTCACTGGCAATAAAATTCTTGCATGGACTTGTGTTAACACCATTAACATAATCAGTTAAGGTGCTGTCAATAATGTCTACTTCAACATTTACTGCTTCATCATATGTATGATTGCGTGATTCATTTAGCTGTTCTTCATCATCATCTCTTGCTGATGATGAAGGTAGAACATCATTTTCAACTATGCCTGACATATTGAAGTCTAAAGAGGCAGTTGAAGCGTCATGTGTCATAGGAAATTCTGTGGACACCTTAAATATCTGGGAACCATGCAGCATTAGTTTCAATAGTTCTCTTTCCATAGCTGATATTTGATTCACACTCTCAATGAGGTAAACCTGCAATAGAGGAGAGCAATGACCAATATATTTTTCTGATATAAATTAAAGTAAATTCATTCATCAATCCATGAGTATCCAACAGTCACAATTGGACAATCAACAATCTAGAATACTGTATCTAAACATTGCATCTGGAAGTACAATCACTCATAATAGTCCCGTCACCTCTCTACCCTTTCAACAAGCTCCAAGATTCATACTCGTGAACCCGAAGTAGTACACTCTGATGTATTTTCGTGTCAACAAATACTTTGGATTCACGAGTCCAAATCCCGGGGTTTGTGGTTCAGGAGGAGAGGCGACAGGACTATTGTGGGTGACTGTACATTACTGACAAGGAAAAAAATGATACACCTGTATAAGGGATGATATAGTTTTGGATATACCTGTATTAATGGAATTATATTCTTTGTACACAACTTTGAGTAATAAGAGATACATGCACAATGGTCACAAGAAGTCAATGTTATAACAATTCACATTTGAAGAAATTATGGACAATTGTATGATAACTGTACAGCTTGTGAATATACATACTACAAATCTTACTCTTCTCAAATACTATTTCAGTATATCAATTTTAAATATTTTCTGCTAAGAGAGAGAGAGAGAGAGAGAGAGAGAGAGAGAGAGAGAGAGAGCACTCTATCTTCAGGCTTTATCATAATACCTTAGAAAAAATATCCTTGCAGAGTTCCTGGTGCCTTTTAATGTTTTTCTTTAAACAAGTGTAGATCATAAAATGGTCCAAACACCCTGAGTTCTTCATAAATTCACAATAATCCTGTACAATTTCCTTCATTTCTCGAGTTACTGGATCCCATCTGGAAAATGTAATACAAATTAGCCATGAGAGTTACATGCAGAATACAGTATTGAAGAAGAAGAAAATGATTACAGTTAAGTTGTTCTTGTAATCATCAAATAAAATACAAAAGACAATAAGACAATGGAAGCTGAACAAATTACAATGTTCCTCACACCTGCACATTGCAATTTGCTTATCTTCAATATCTTCTGTAATTAGTGTATGTAAATCCTTAGAGCAATGTGTTGAAAATTGCAGTGTATTAATAAATCTGATGGCTACTTGAACAAATAATTTTTATTATTCCTTATCTTTTTATAACACTATTGTATAAACACTTCCACTGTGCATCCAATGATTATACTGTACAAAGGTCCTTAGCCATGTAGTGTAAAATGCAGTTAATACAATATTACAATAAAGGCAGATCCCGATTTACGAGGATTTGATATGCAAAAATTTGCAGCTAAAATTTTTTTCTCAAGCTTTGATTTCCAAACGAACACCCCAAAGTTGTGATGTATATATTGTATGCTAGAAAAACCACTAAGTATTTTTACTTACATTATGCTTATTTATCTCATTATTCTGTACAACACTCACAAATAAACTTTCAATGTGTCACCACTCTCCTACAATCACTCTCTACAGTAGGAAACCTCTTAAGTTGGAAACCACCATAAATTGGACAAGCTCTGGCCTTGGGGGCGTTGTGTGGGGGCAGTATTTGGGCGAGGCTTAAGTTCCCACATCTTTGTTTTTATAACGATTGCACTGCCTCTCATTTTTTCTTCATAATTTAGTGCTTCCCTTGTGTACAGTATTATTATGGCCTCTAAATCAAGTTAAGACAAAATAACACCACTGATGACTACTGGGAGGAAAGGAATGGTGCTCAAAACTCTACCAATTGAAGAGGAACTTAATATATGAAACATAATTAATACTTGGGTCTCCATAAACATTATCTGTGAGTAGTTTGGGCTGAAGCAGTGTACTCTACATGACATCAACTAAATATAAGTTAAATTTTAATTTAAATGTAATTAAATATAGGCATAACTCGTAAGGAGTTTAACAAAGTGTTTTCGTGTTATATACTGTAATGGGAGTCAATGAGAAAATATTCATTGATTTCAAAAAACTATTTACGAGAGGTTATCAAGAACGTGACCCTCTTGTACTGCAGTACTGCACGTACTTCACTTGACAAAGTGCAGTTGAACAGACAGTCTCACCTTTTACTTTGAGTACAGGTACTGGGAATTTTCAAGTCTTCCTCGTCTTCGGATTTGGTCTCTAAAGTATCTCTATATAACTCCTGCCAAACATCCATCACATCACTTGCAGCTGCCATGAATTCTCCATGTTTCTGTAAATTGAAATAGTTTGTCATAGTGTATAGTACTTGTACTTTTGAAATATTTATACAAGTAATATCTCTGTTAGCCGGAATCCCTCTTTGCCAGAACTCTCCAATAACCGGAATTGAAATCTGCTCGGAAGTTTTCCGGAAAATTACAGGTTTGAGAAAATTTTTCCGAGGGTTGCATGTTCTGGAAAATTCAGAGAAAAATTCCAGAAACTCTATCCAAATTTGTTTTTTCTGGGTCTGGGAACAAATTCAGAGGACGAAAATCAGGTATATTTTTGGGGGAAATTCAGAAAAAAATTCCCGGTACCCGTAAAAAATCCCCCATCCCCAGATGAAATACGTAAGGCATCATTCTGGAAAATTCAAAGAAAATCCCAGAAGCTCTCCAATTTTTTTTCCCGGTCTGGGAGCAAATTCCAAGGATGAATAATGTGCAATTTCTGGAAAATTCCGAAACTTTGCCCGATACCCAGAAAAATTCTGGGCCTGGGGATTTTTTCCGGGTTTCAGAGAATCATCTCGTTACCCGGAAATCTCTCATTCCCTGAAGTGCTCTGCACCAATTGTACCGTCTAACGGAGATATCACTTGTATATTCAAATACATAATAATGGTTGCCCTTCGTGTAATGAGGATGACCGGCCCAAGGGCCACCCAGGCATGAATATATTTAAGGTATAGAAGCTGTCGCCAACACAACAACCACACCGAGTTAACGAGTTGCATGAATCCAGTGTCAAGGAATAGTCCGCGAAGATCGGACAACTCGCCAACTGCGCTAGCTAACCATTATCCCGGAATACTATCCGCAAATCGATTAACATCTAGGTTCCCAATTACTGCTGGGTAGACAGAGGCAAATGGTATAAAGAAACTTGCCTAGAGTTTCACCCTGCCCTCACTTGCAAGGTGAGCATTACACCACATACTGTACTGTATCTATAAACTTACTTGGTATTGATGGTCTTTTACAGAATAATCCACAACATGATCATCACACAGTTTACTCCCAGCAGTATTGCACATGTGCTATTCTTAACAGCTTTCATGAACATCCTGTACTGCCTCACTCTATGTTTGCATCTCATCTTCTGTTTTTCCAAAAGTTCAGTAACACATTCTCTTGTCTATTTCTACACAGTATTTCATTCTGAAGTACAATTCTACATATGGATACCAAAATGCTGAAGAGGTGAGTTAGGGGAAATATACCCAAGAAAAAATTATATATATTGTACTGCCATATATTTAAAAATGAAACTGTATACTGTACAGGTTGACCCTCTCTTGTCCGATATTCCATCGATCAGGAGCTCCCAATTAATGGCACTATTGTAAGAAATTGTCCAGCAAACTTCCCAATTTACTGACATGTAGTTTTCCAGTTGATCCCAGACTCAATTCTATTGTTACCAGTACTGTACTGTAGTTGACAGTTAGGCATTACTGTAATTTTCTAGTCTATTAATTCTACATCTCAGCTTACTGTTCGACCATCTGGACAGTTGTTCTAATCTTTTTTTATAACCTTCTTTGTCCAGCATTAGTATTGGAAGAAAACAGAGTAACTAAGGGAAACCTGGCCTGTATGGTAGGGTCACACTGGATAACACCCTCTTCACAGCAGGTTGAAGCAAAGTTCTGCTGCTGGATGTCCCTTCCTTACACCAAAAGTTGGCAAGACAGGGTCACTGCTCCTTGTGGCATGGCAAACAAATAATGAAATAAAACTCACATTTTTGTTTGATCTCGCTAAACACAGCTGAATGGCCTGATACTGATCTTGCAGGGATAGCAGGATGGTACGTTCTGAGAACAAAATGTTATGTTTCCTGCACAAGGATATGACATAGCCAGTCAGGCTTGACACTTGACCTATGCCTTCCCACCCTGCCTGAGCCAAGTACTTCACCTCACACTGCAAACTTTCTTTCTCTGGCAAAAAAAATAAAGAATCATTAAAAATTTTCATATCCTGTACCCAAACAGTATTCTGATAGCGTTTATATAACAATATTATTTCAGTGTCCAGAAAGTACAGTATTTACTAGTATAGTAGTGTATCTATAGAACAGATTCCAAATACTCGCTCCAACACATTTGTACGCAATAAATCATTAACACACACACACACACATATATATATATATATATATATATATATATATATATATATATATATATATATATATATATATATATATATATATATATATATATATATATATATATATATATATATATATATATATATATATATATATATATATATATATATATATATATATATATATATATATATATATATATATTATCAGACATATACTATATAGTAAATACTGCACAGTATAACTCAATTTTTTACATAACACTCTGTCAGAGTGAGGTCATTAAATTCTCACAATTGTATAATAAACACTGACAGACAGACTAACATAACAAACCTTTAACTAAGCCTTCCTGAACTTTCTTGAGGATGCTCCTCCTTTGCATGTCATTGTCCAGGGCAGGAATGAAGAACACCTTTGTCATATTCTGACCACTATTAGGTCCTGAAGGATGTAAAACTTGGGCCTCGTATTCCCCCATGTGTAAATCTGGGAGACAAGAACATCATTTTAATCTTTTTTACATCAGAAGACAATGGTACTGATAACCTAAGAAGTTAACAAGCTGAAAAGTGGCCAAGAGGACAAAGTTAAGTTCTGTAAAGTAAAGTAAATTATGAGAATCTAGCTACAGGTTCAATTCTTCATGTCATTACCATATGAAACAACCAGTCATTTCAAAGTAAAAGTAATAAGTAATATACAGTACAATTTATTAGGGAAGTCATTATAGTAACTCTCTTGACAGAAGGAAAGTAATGTAGAATCATGGAAACTTTAAACCTCTGGGCTAAAAAACATTTTCTTTATTCTCACCACCACAGATCTCACCTCTTCATAAGTTGTCACAATAAAGGTCTTGATAGAAAATATTTTTAAGGATAAATATATATCATTAATTCACATTCTACAATAATCATCTTCTCGCATGAAAAAATACTGTTATTCTACAACAAATTTCACTATGACTTGTGACAAAGTGCAAGATGTTTCTTTCAGTACTTTAAAACACTTTAAAACGTTCTAATTCAACAAGAATAGTCTTTTTACTTTTAAAAATGTCACTTATTAAGGCACAGTCAAAACTTTTTCACCCTGAAGATACAGTACGTTGACCTGCCACCCTGGTGTACCGTCACTACCAGCAGTATACACGACCATTATAAACCAAACATTTCACAGACACAATATACAGAAAATTGGCAGCAACTTCTCAATACGTATCTGTGTATAAATGTTCATAAATTGTTTCTTAAAATAATAACAGCAACCTATAAGATCTACAGCAATTTTTACACTATTATTTTATTTTCACACAACAAAGGAATCTTAAGAATTTTTTCTTAGCAATCAATAATGATATCTCTGGTAGCCGGAACATTTGGTGCAGAGCACTTCCAGGAATGAGATTTCTGGGTAATGAGACGACTCTCTCAAAGCCGAGAAGAATCCCCCATCCCCAGAATTTTCTGGATACCAGAACTTTTTTATCTCAAAATTTCCAGAAAATGTACCTGAATTTCATCTCTCAATGCCGGGAAAAAAATCTCCCATCTCTGGAAATTTCCGGGTACCAGAAAATTTTCCTCGGAATTTTCCAAAATATGTGCCCCTCAGAAAATTTTCCCCAAACCTGGAATTTTTTTTAGAGAATTTCAGTTTTGGGAACGATTTTCCGAGAAAATTTAAATTCCGGCTATCGGAGAAGTGATTCACAGCCCGAATTACGCTTGTACGACCATCATTTGACTTCATTGCGGCTACATTTGGTTACATTTGGGTAATTCCTCGCTCCCTCGGTACATGCACGCGATCTATTAACTCAGATTAAAGTAAGTTTTCCAATTTTTTGTGACTTTCTGACACCAAATACTAGTCGAGAAGTGATTAGCAGTCCGATTTATTCATGTAAGACCATTATTTGACTTCATTGCGGCTGCATTTGGCTACATTTGGGTCAGATTCATGTGGGTAATGTCACTTTTCACTGCCATACAGGACAGAGGTTCGTACACAAAGAATGCATCATATTCATTGACACTATATATAGGTCAGATTCATGTGGGTAATGCCACTGTTCACTGCCACGCAGGACAGAGGTTCGTACACAAAGAAGGAAATACATCACATTCACCAGCAGCATATATGGGTCAGTGGATCACATACATTGGAGTCATATTCTAATTGAAGACTATTAACCAAACGAATTTTTACCTTTAATTTTACGAGTGATAAGAGGCAGTCCTCACTCAGTAGTCGTTAACTTTTAAACCATTACAGTAATAAAAGTCTTAAGTCCTTCGCCTGTATATAATTATGTACTGCTCATGACACTACAAATTATCTCTTATGTCTTAACCACTTATAAATCTACACTTTTTAGCGCTAGAGACAAAGAAAGGGTTAATATTTACTCACAGCTGACGAGGTGGTCGACAGGAAGAGGATTTAATTTTGGTGGTTGATAACAAGAACAACGGACGCTGGCCAAGCGCACCTTGTATTATTGTTTATCAAGGAATATTTAATAAAAAAGTTACACTCTAAGCATATAGTTGGTGCAGTTGACGATATTTGGCATTAAGTTAGTTGGTTTTTTTAATGTTAGATGGCGGCATTGTAGCGTTGGTGAGTCTTTACTTATAATAATTTGTATTTTTACTTTTATCCTCTTCGCCACAGATCGGCTCGTTAACTCTGTTGGCAAGTAATGGGCATGCGCGTCTGCACCGTTTACTTTTTTGTATATATTTGACCATTAAACGGGAATGTATGCATAATGATGGCTCCAAGTGAGTAGAGTACACGCTTTGCAGGAACGATGTTTTTTTAGGTTCGGTCATCCAGCGAACTTAGAAATTTAACTATTAGAATCGGTAGTTTATACAATTCTAGGAAACTTTCCTTCTATGACGTTTTCCTCGCAAACGACTTAAATATGCCGTAGGGGGAGGGAATCTAGCTTTAACAAAAATAGTTACCCGTAAAATAATAACTATTTTCTATAAAAGCATTTAAGTTCGTTTTCTATGAATAACATATTTTATACTTTTACTCAAATTGTTCCCTCGGAGTTTTTTTTTTCAGGTTTTTTTTGTTTAACAAATTTATTGGCAGAGCTTGTAGTACAGTTTGCCTATTCTGAGTAATTCAGTCAGGTCTTGACACTGAGGGTGGTATCACTTCTCACTGTCACGCAGGACAGAGGTTCACACACAAAGAAATACATCATATTCATTAACAACTATAAATGTATAGAGGTCAGATTCAAATGGATAATGTCACTGTTCACTGCCATGCAGGACAGAGGTTCGTACACAAAGAGTTGCATCATATTCATTGACAGTACATATACATATATGTAAACACGCACACACACATATACATACATATACGTATATACATACACATATACACGTACACGCACATATACATGCACACACGCACACATACATACATATACGTCGGTCAGATTCATGTGGGTAATGTCACTTTTCACTGCCATACAGGACAGAGGTTCGTACACAAAGAATGCATCATATTCATTGACACTATATATAGGTCAGATTCATGTGGGTAATGCCACTGTTCACTGCCACGCAGGACAGAGGTTCGTACACAAAGAAGGAAATACATCACATTCACCAGTAGCATATATAGGTCAGTGGATCACATACATTGGAGTCATATTCTAATTGAAGACTAATCAGTGTGGGCTAGCAAATTTGGGATAAACAGCAAGAATGTCCTCAAGCACACCTGATTCAATGAAGTAATTACATAGTTCAAGATACAGTAAGTCAGGTGGCCTGAAGTCTTTGACAGTGTCACATTCAATAATATAGTGTTCAAGTGTATGCTTTAAAGGTTTATCACAAAGTTTACATGCTGAGTGTTCCGGTATGGGTACAGCGTTACTAACTTGCCAGATGTGTCTGTATCCTAGCCTAATTCTGGCCACGACTACATCACATTGTCTGGTTCTGTCCTTATGCTGGCCATACCGGTACCTCTTGTTACAAAATTTGTCATATTTACTAATGCTACAACTGTCAGGTCTCTCTGCATTTCTCACTTCATCTAGATCAGAGTTCATGATTCTGACTTGAATGTTTTTAATTACAGCATTGGACAGACCAAGGTCGCGGTCAACATTTTCTTTCTTACATGCCTCATTGGCCAGTCTATCAACATGGTCATGATACCTGATTCCAACATGGGACGGAATCCACACAAATTCGATACGAAAGTTGTTCTCATTGGCAGTTATCACATTCCTTTTAATATCACACGCAACTTTAGACATAGAGCCTGACGGGCTGTTCATTGATTTCAAAGCACTTTGAGAGTCACAGAATATCACCCCACCTCCATTTTCTTTGAGGTAGTCTGTGGCTAAGTAGATTCCAGTTAGTTCAGTTTGTGTTGTGCTGGCCCAGTTGTTCAGCCTTTGTTTGGTTGACACTATCATCTCTTTTTCTTTATATATTACAATTGCACAGCCTGTTCTACCTGTGTTTGTCTGCACAGAACCATCAGTAAAAGCATAACATTCACTTGATTTAATACTCTCTATGTGTCTGTTAATAGTTTCTAGTGTGACACATCTCACCACATCGGTGTTTAACATTTGCTTACTACCAACAGGAGTGTAATTAATAGGAACTGATATGTCCAGCCAAGGAGGAATGGCATTAATAGGTTCGTCTGGGGTGATTGGGACATTCAGTTTCAGGAGATCTGCAACACTTTTATGAAGCCACGCCCCAAAGAGAGTCTTTTGTGAAAGGTTGGCGAGATGGTCGGGATTACTTAGATAGAACATCAACTCAGTTTGAGTTGTAGTTTGAGAACTATTGTTCTTCAAAACTTTGACACAAAACATGGTATTAAGTAGGGCTATCCTCTCAGATAGGGAGGGCAGTCCGAGCTCTTTCCTCATGTTTACAATTCTGGTTGATTTTGGGCAACCTAGGATGATGCGCATGGCTTCATTTTGCACTACCTCGGAGTAGTACAATTACTCAATAACAGATGGCGATGTAGTACAACTTTGGGACCATTCTGAAAATAATAGGAATGTGTGTCAGAGTATGCTTCCTTATTAGACATATATATATATTCCATGCTGTGAATACAACTATTATATCAGGTGGAGGTAAATGCGGCAACTGAACCATACTTTATCGAACATTCGTAAGTCGAAGGTAAAGTTACGTGTATTAAAATTAGGCAAGATTATACTGAAAAATAAAATATAAGCTGTGATGCTGCCTTTTTATTATACCTGTATTCCCAGAAGAGATCAATTTTTTAATGATCTTCGTGTCTATAGTGATCACCTTACGCTCGTCTGGACAAAGGAGAGCAACCATATATATATGACACTTGAAGTTACAGAGGTTTTAATCAACCTGTATGTCGCAACACCTTCATAGATTTGCTTCTGAAGGTACGGTCACTCGAGTCATCAATGTGTATGACTAACGGGATACGACTTCACACGTGTAAACATGAAGATAAATACCAAGGTTTAAAGTCCAAGAATGATTGCTGTACGTTGGGTAAGTCAGGTATTAAATGTGTAGAAGAGTCGAAGAATGACATGTTAAGAGAATGCGTATTTGTGTCTGTATATATAAACTGAGTTTATGTACATTGTATTGTGGGGGACGTGATATTGGGTTCACACTCAGGATGGGATGGAGAAAGGAAACTCACAATGTGCTCTCTGTATACATGTTGTATTGGATGTACAGTGCAGCTTGGTGCTGGGAAGTGGCAGTGTGGTTACAAGCGTGATGTAGAGAGAGCTGGTTGGTGAGGGTGCTCAGAGGAGGACCAGCTTGTGGGTCGCCCTGCTTGCCGGCGGGAGCGAGGGTCGCCAGGCAGGAGCGGAGGAGGTGGTGTTACTTGAAGACTGGCTGTAGGTAGAAAGAGAGGTAGGTCACCACGAGGTCAGGTCTTATATAGCGGAGGTAGGCGTAGCTTAATAGTTGACCTCCGTCATGTAAGGCGGCGCTGGTTGACCTAGACCACGAGGCATACACTGGGGAATTCGCGGGGTCGGCTGCTCAGCGACAAAAGTGTTTGTAGGGGAGGAATCCACTACAGTATATGAAGTGTTCTTATACGGTATATATGTATGTTTGCACCTGACTAACGTTAGATCCTAGTACAAAACAATCGTGGATTATAAGCCAAGTTCCTATTAGTTAAATATACGATGTTTTAGAGTAATCAGACATCTGTTACCCTTCTGGAGGTAAGAAGAACTGTACAGATGGATGCATAGTAACAGCCAGCCACGAGAGCATTTTTAAATTCATAAATAATACTAAACTGGCAACAATGCAGCTCACTAATCTGCATGTTCCATTCTCTAGGTATAAACGGCACGAAATTACAGCTCAAGTAGAGATTAATCTGATCAGTACAGTGACGTTGGTAACTAATGAGATAAGAGAGTACAGATGAAGCTGGGGGAGGAGGAGGGGTAAGTTAAACCCCCGCCAAAGGTCCACACTGACCGGGTCTACATCGGAGGTAAGACGTGTGCTACTTGTGTCATTTATTCCCACCTCACACACACACAAATACCCACCCACACATGCAGTAACACACTCATACATACATATCAACACTCTTACACATACATTCACATATACACCCCCACACGTGAATGTACCGTCAAGACATATATGTTTTACTTAGATCAAATGGGCCTCTGTCCTTATATAGGCCCCAACTTAAGATGACTTAACCAAAGATTCAATATTGTGGTCCACTGGAATTAGGCCCCAATCATCATGGTAAGATTAGGTTGGGGCCTATTAGGGATTGGGGCCTCTTTGACCAGTCATCATTGTTACGCTCGAGTGTAGCGAAGTGGCAAGGCGTTGGGACTGTACATCTTCACTAAAATGTACACACCCAAAGTAATGTGCTACATTATTAGAAAGTGGATGTTGAAAGATGTATACTGTGTTAATTTTTGAAAGCTTCTACGCCGAAGAATATGTTTTGTTTACTGACCGCTAGAGGGCGGCCTACGATTAACCTCCACAAATAAACGAGAAACGCGAAGTGAAACAGTTCTATACACCTTCAATACGCTGTACAACGACTCGTTTTGTAAGGAACATACAGGACTAACCAACGACCGAGATCACTGTTATCAAATATGTTAATGTTTTTTTCCTTGCCATAACGTATATCACCAGTCTTACACTTTTAGTTGTTTAAATAAGCTCTATGACCATTTTCTCCTGACTGTCTGATCAACCCCATGAGAGAATGTTTCTTCTGTCACCCCTCGCTGTTTAAATAAGGACTTTCTATATTGTCCCTTAAATTTGCGTTTTCTCTCCTTAATGTTACCTGTCGGGAGGTTAAGTTTGGTTAGGATAGATTAGTTATAGGTTAGATTAACTTAGGTTAGCAGTAGGGTATTTAATCTTCATGTTGTATGAAAGACCTTGTTCTCATTTATCAGACATGAGGCATTTTCCCATAACTTTCCACACCTACCCCTTTATTCTTTCCCCTCCCCATTATTCTATTCCTCCTGTGGGTGTGATTCTTTACCCCATGTTCCTCCCCACACGAAAGTAGACGCAAAATAATTGATAAACAGAAGGAAACGTTTGGGATACATTGTTTACCTGTATTGTTTATACATATTCTCAATTAATGTAAACTTTCACGATTTTACTGTATAAACATTCTCTCTCTCTCTCTCTCTCTCTCTCCCTATATATACTAACCAAGCCCAATCCCACCAATCTTTTCCTAATTTACCTTACCTTACCAACTCAACCCAACCCAACTTAACCTAATGAACCTAATCTAACGGAACCTAACTTGAATTAACCTAACCTAACCTAACTTACCCTAACCAACCTAACCAAACTAATATAATTAAGTGAATTCCTTTATATCTGCTTCAGTACGACCAGCAGTGATAATATTGATGACAGATAAATATTCTTATCACAGAGGCTAAGAGGTAGTCAGTTGTGGCTATCTGTTCTTGGGAGAGTTAATGATACACACACACACACACACGTCCTAAGATGTTTGCTTTCACTGTCGGTTGCTAAGGGAAGGACAGGTTGCTAAGGGAGGGACAAGTTGCTAAGGGAAGGATAAGGTTACTTAGAGGTTACTTTAGTGGGGTCAAAAGAGCGGCTACTACTACTACTACTACTACTACTACTACTACTACTACTTTTATTTTTTTTTATTGGCCTCCAGCCTCCCCCAATAGCCACACCTTCGCCACCATTTAATTACCTTAATATTAAATATCCTAATACATAAGTAGCTATCCTATCTGTGTTAAATTAGTTGAGCCGTAGATCTATGAGGCATTCAGTGACAGTAGCCTCATAGTCAATATCTGCAGCAGTTGTCGGAGTTGGGGCAGAAGCTCTCGTTCCCCTGAGGCAGAGCAAAGCCGACCGAAGGAGAGAGAAAGACAGTCGACATCTCATCCAGGCTGTAACATAACTTCTGGGCTGCTGCTTCTGTTCGGAGATCACCTCCGCGAGTCTGGCGTAGAAACATCTTGCACTTGGTCCCATCCCACCAGAGGTTGTGAACACTAGAGGAGTGAAGCTGCCTTGATCAACGTTTTGAATTCTCTCCCCATATGCCTTTCTCTTGTCGTTCTCGTTCCTCCTGTGTGCAGCATCGAGAGCTAGGTTACGGTGACATGTGGCCATGGGATAAAAAATCCTGATGTCGAAGAAAGCACGCTGTTCCCGCGTCCAGAATCCTCGAGCACTGACGTCCACACGGGCTTCGTTAAATGTGTTTGAAGTCCTGTGTTGGAAGATCTCACCATCCAATGGAAGGAGGGTCGGTTCTACCATGACATCCCGGCAGATTTCTTTCAACATATTTGCTGTGAGGTCCCTTACCTCGTCATGCCTCATGCATATGAAGCCCCCTTTCTTGCACACCATGGCGTGATCGCCATCATAGGAAGAGCCACACACGCATTGGGAGGGCAAACCTTCTACTGGCCGACCGTACCTTAGAGCAATGGCATCTGTAAATTCTTGTTTATTAAGACTGAAACCATTTGCCCTTATCGGTAACGTAGTTAACCAGTTTGAGGCGCCCACCTCCTGTGCTATAGCTACTTTTTTTTTCAAATTTTCTGGTACCTGCAGCAACAGTTGCTGCAACTTATCATTTTGGCAGTGCTGTCGACCTGTCGTAATGGACCTACGAATCTTATTTACTTCGCCGATATCCACTTCCGCTGTTGCATTCTGGGCTATTATGTGGTCCGTGAGGGCTGCCGTAAGCTTAAGTGAATTTTGATGTTCGGTGGCAGCAATCTCCTCTGGATTGGTTAGTCCCATCCCTCCCAGTCTTGATGGAAGTGCAAGAAGTGCTCTTTCTGCTGGGGTTAAGTCAGGGTGTTTCACTAATTTAGGAATGAAATTGACACTGATAACTTCTTCCAGAGGGTGGAGGAGGGATCCGATATCAGGGATAGTACGCATCAGGTAGTTCCAACGATGGTAGGGTACGTGGCAGAAGGGAAGTGGGGAGAGAGTTTAAGTGATAGTGGGAGTATATAGTAAACCAGATAAGATCAAGTGGCGGGTGTTTTAGACAAGATGACGTGGGGTATATAACAAGATTTCTGCCAGTTACTACTACTGCTACTACTACTACTACTACTACTACTACTATGAAATGGTAACCACAGACATAGACGGAATAGAAATAAACATAAAGAAACACATTGTTGATGGAAAGAAAGAGAGATAAAGTAAGTAGGAAAGAACGACAGTCGATAGAAATGAATTATTGTCCAAACGCGTAAACCCATCTTGGGCTATCTTGGTATATCAGTCAAGGAGTATCGTAGCTGTTATCTCAAGGTTACGTGACAGAGAGACAGAGGGAGATTAGGCCTCGAGGTCTTTGTGATTACGAGTTGGTTGAAGTTCAAGAACATCAATTCAAGCTGGTCCCTCCCTCTCTCCCTCTCTCCCTCGCCATCTCTCCGTCTACTAAGGCTTTTTCCATCTCACACCCCTTTCTCCTACCAAGGCTTCTTCCATCCACCCCCTTTCTCCTACCAAGGCTTCTTCCTTCCACCCCCCTCTCCTCCAATCAAGGCTTCTTCCATCCACCCCCTTTCTCCTACCAAGGCTTCTTCCATCCACCCCTTCTCCTCCAATCAAGGCTTCACTATCTCAGAACCAGAATCACAGGACAGCGATTGAGAACTCGTGTGGATGATCCCCCTAGTTGGTACAGCTATCGCCATCATGAGCGATATCTTACTTGGGATGACTTGAAGATTAGACACCCCCCCTGCTTGTATCACCTGATGATTAAACACCCTAACCTAACCTAACTTAACCTAAACTAACTCACAGATCCACGTGGGAGGATAGGCTGCCACAAAAAAGATCGGATCGACTACCTGTCACCTCGAGCAGACAAAAGAGCATCAACAATGAATCTCTTCCCACGGTTAACGGTGGTGATGTTGGTGTCGCTACTGACGGTGACGTTGGCGGAGGAGGCTGACGACGTGCCGGTGGTGACGACATCCACTGGGCAGGTATCCGGAATAAAGGAGGAATCAGTCGGAGGGAAACATTTCTTCTCCTATCACTCCATTCCCTTTGCTGAACCTCCTCTCGGTGATCTGAGATTCAAGGTTGGTTTACGAGGCTGAGAAAATCATTACACTGTTACACGATTGAACTTGACAATATTAACACAGTGGAATAATCTTGCTAATATAATCTTTAAAAAAAAATCACTAGAACTTAAGTCGAATTTCTGTTTATTTTAGGGTATTTTGTTGATGTAAATCTCAGTTTCATTAGTGAGAAAACACAAGTGACTTGATTTCTTTGGTGCAGAACCCGGTGGCAGTGAAGAGTTGGGAGGGCGTGAAGGATGGGTCCAAGATGCCGCCTTTGTGTCCACAGGTAGCACTAGCAGCCATCGTTACTGGCATGGACGCTACTATTGAAGGTGAAGAGGACTGCCTTTATCTCAACGTCTTCACCCCAGAAGTAAGTCAACGCTGGAGAAATATAAACAAGGGAAATCTAAATAGGATCAAAAGATATTCAAGTGGTATTTGAATCCTCTTTAACTAATACAGGATCTGATCTAATCTTCTTTCATCTATTTATTTAATGACGTTTATATTGTGTATTAGTTTCATAGATGCCACTTCAATACCATTTCCATATGACCTCTAAGTTCCTGTTTGTTTTGATCCTGAACTTACGCTCTGTATGCTAAGTCATCAGTTCGTTCATGTATACGAAACAGCTCCACTCTACACGACTCACACACTCCTTATGAGCTACTGAAATATTCACAATAGCACTGAAAATCAGACCCAAACTAAAACACTTATCTTTCAATAAAAGGATGACTCTTAATTACTCAATACACATTTTATGAGTATCAACAAGACATAAATATCATGTTAGTTTTATGAGTATTGATGAATATATAAAGATGATTATAGAGGAGATGTCTGTCTGTGTGTCTGTAGCCGAATGAGAAGATGCCACTGTTACCCGTGATGGTGTTTATCCACGGCGGAGCGTACATAAGTGGCGGCGCCCTGGAGTATCCCCCACACGTCCTTCTCAACCATGATATCGTCCTCGTTGTCATCCAGTACCGACTTGGCGTCCTAGGTCAGTGTTTTAACTTTATCACTAGTCTACGCATCTCCCAGGTCAGTGTTTTAACTTTATCACTAGTCTACGCATCTCTCAGGTCAGTGTTTTAACTTTATCACTAGTCTACGCATCTCCCAGGTCAGTGTTTTAACTTTATCACTAGTCTACGCATCTCCCAGGTCAGTGTTTTAACTTTATCACTAGTCTACGCATCTCCCAGGTCAGTGTTTTAACTTTATCACTAGTCTACGCATCTCTCAGGTCAGTGTCTTAACTTTATCACTAGTCTACGCATCTTTCAGGTCAGTGCCTTATCTTTATCACTAGTTTACGCATCTCTCATCTCAGTCGCAGCATTATATAACACATTTAAAAGTCACAGAGCTTAACCTGTACAAGATGCTTAAACACATTCAGTTAATGAGAGACCCAGAGGTACGAACGTAAGCGTCTTATGGTTTCACTTCACCTGAGAGTTACTATGACGTGGACGAGTAAACAGAGGTCACTATAACCTTATTCAGGGTCACAGAGGGTCACAGATGGGTCACATGTGAGAAGGGTCTTATGTAGTGTGACCTGTACTAAACATGACAGGTTTTCTCGAGGTACTAAATCTTCCCCCTATACTAAAACTGACTAAAGTAACTGAGACCAGATCAACTGCCTGAACCTCTAGTAAGATGACGAGTATGGGAACACATCAGAGGAGATGAGAGAGAACAAAGGCACGGGAACTAAAGAGATGCCACATGTACCGAACCTCCAGATACCGGACTATACTCTCCCATATAGTCCGTTAAAGAGAGGTCTGTCTGTCTGTCTGTTTAAATAACTATCCCTCGGCAGGTTTTCTCTCGACGGAGGATAAAGCAGCTCCAGGAAACTTAGGACTCAAAGACCAGATGGTGGCACTGAAATGGGTCCAGAATAACATACACAACTTCGGCGGTGATGCTCTCAAAGTCACGTTATTCGGGGAGAGTGCAGGGGCCAGCTCCATACACTTCCATATTCTTTCACACCAGACAGTGGGTAAGCTGGAGTGTCCTTTATTATATCTTTGAGTATTGATATAAGCTGAATAAGTAACCTAACCTAACCAAACCTAACCTAACCATGGCACGTCTCTACAGGGTTGTTCCAGCAAGCAATCTTACAGTCAGGTACAGCTCAGTGTCCCTGGGCAATGGGTGCTGCTCACGCTGCTGTAACAGAGTACATTGGTGATTTCTTCAACTGTTCGACGGAGGGAGAGAGTGAGGAGCTTGTTACTTGCCTTCAGGGTGTAGAGGTCAACGATCTCGTCCCTCTTTTGTTTCACTTTTCGGTCAGTTGCTGTTGCATCGTTCCTATTGTTCATCGTTCATCCTGTTCATCGTTCATCTTACCCATCATTCATCCTGTTCATCGTTAAGAATATAATACTACATAGAGAGGTGATATATAAACTAAATAATTATATATGAAGAAATGAGATATATACAGTTAAATGATAATAAAGGAGATAATAAGGAGTTAATTAGTACTTACAGGTAATCATAATTAATTAGTAATATATATGGAGGTAAAAAAGAGAAGTCATTTAAGGAAGTTTATCAACGTTTCAGCAATGGCACCTGAGTCCTCTCTTGCTGGGCCCTAGGGTAGATGGTGACTTCTTAATGAAAGATCCCGATACATTGATGAAGGAGGCTAGGCACAAGAGAATCAACCTTATCTCCGGGATCACACAACACGAGGGCGCCTTCTTAACTCTGCGTAAGTCGGTGTTTGTGTTAACGTTGTCTTGTGTACTATAGAGACCTTTGTAGTTCCTTTTATCGAAAATACGCCAAAGTCAAATGAGAATCTGTAACACAACGCGGTTCGAAACTCGTTCCAGTGGTTCAGAGATTATTTCCAGCAATTCAGGATTTCAGGCTTGTCCAGGGAATTATTGTTCATGACTGTACCATAAGCGTCAAGTACACTACTGCTGGTATACTGTTACTAGTGAATGCAGGTTTAGGTTAGATATATTAATACTCATTTTAAGTATAAGTTAGATCACTGAGTCCAAATTGGTTTTACGATAATGGAAATTTAGAGATTGTTATATAAGTATTTTGTTCCATAGCATAAAATACTCATTGTCACAGTGTAAACAAACAAAAGAGGACCGTGGGGTCACACCTGACTAAAGTGTACAGTCCCCTTCACTACAGGGGCTCGTCAAATAAACATTCCACTAATCATTATGTTTGAAATCTTTGTTTTAATATTATTTTAATTTGATTCCATAATATGTTTACTACTGCTAGTTTCTTTTTGTCGAATGTAAACAAATATATCGCTGCCACACTGCACAAAACCTGACGAGCCCCTGTAAACGCACAAGTGAAGGGGACTGTACATATCCTCAGAAATGTTCACGATGTTATAAGTCTCCTGCAATGTTTTATTATTTCGTACACTTAATACAGTATTGTCCTTCTAACCTAACCTAACCTATTCTAAACTAACCAGCTATATTCGCCAATGAGTACTTGCGGTCGTCCCTTAAGTACAACTTCATGAAAAACGGTCCGCTATCCCTTGAGTTGGGGGAAGGTGACGTGGCGCCCATGAACCAAACAGTCCACATCTTCGACCACTACCTCGGCGGGGTCCACCTTGACGTCCTTACCGCCGACAACGTTACTCAGGTAATTGATGCATTGTTTACAGGTAAATCCTATGAAACATTCTACAATATCTCAATTTGATTACAGTCTTGGGTATTAAAATGCGTCCCAATCCAAATAGGCCTCAGGGTAATTGGACCCAAGTTCTAATGTAACCTCAACTTTACTAAACTACCGCAGCTTACACCACTAACCTAACCTAACCTCACACAGATGTACAGTGACCGCTTCTTTACGATATGTCATGATCTCACCACCGTCATGCACGCCAAGAACGTCGCAGCCAGGTCGAAGAAAACTTTCACCTATGAACTCAAGTATCGAGGCCAACGCTCCATTGCTGACCTGTTCTCACTTAACATCGGCGAAAACTGTGAGACTTTTACTTATAAATATCTTTCCTTTAATCCCTTTGGTTACTTATAATTACTTGTGTTACTTAGAGTCTCTTACTTATAAACTTCATTCCTTTAATACCCCTTTACTTATAATTACTTGTGTTACTTACAGATACTCTTCCTTACGTGTTTCCTTTTATCCATTTGGTTACTTATAATTACTTGTGTTACTTGTAATGTGTTTTGACTCATACTACTCTCTCCCCCGGGGTGATTCACACTTTTCTCTTCCCAGGGGTGACTCACAAACACTTTTATCTCCCCAGGGTGATTCACAAAAACTTTTTATCTCCCCAGGGATGACTCACAAACACTTTTCTCTCCCCAGGGGTGACTCACAAACACTTTTCTCTCCCCAGGGGTGACTCACAAACACTCTATCTCCCCCAGGGTGACTCACAAACACTTTCTCTCCCCAGGGGTGACTCACACAGACGAGCTCTTCTACCTGTTCACTGGAGGACCATTGTGGAGACCCATAGACCGAGAAGAAGACCTCAAACTTCGCGAAATCATGACTACTTTATGGACAAATTTCGCTACTACGGGGTAAGTCTGTGTGAGTGGGTGGGGAGATTGAGTGGGTGGGGAGATGGAGTGGGTGGGGAAATAGAGAGGATGGGGAGATGAAGAGGGTGGGGAGATAGTGAGGGTGGGTGGGTGGGGAGGTAAAGATGGTGTCTGGAGAGATAAAGATGGTATGTGGGGAGAAAAAGATAGTAGGTGGGAAGATATATGACTGGGGAGATAAAAGTATTGGGAGATCTGGATATTTCACCACAAAGACGAAGAAGAAAATGGGATTTCTTCAAGTATCAAAACGTTCATACAATATTACTGGCTTATTTACCACTTTCTTGACACCTAATATATTCCGTGACACTGAAATCCCACTGTGAGAGAGGATAAAACACGGAAAAACGCAGAACAAAGCAGAAAACACAAGAAAATACTAAAAACAAACAGAGAAATGCTGAAAAACACAACAAACACCAGAAAAACACACAAAAACACAAATAAACACCAGAAAACACCAGAAAAACGCAGAAAACACCAGGAAAAAAACGTAAAAAAACGAAAGCACTGCACATTTCGATCGTCCTCTTCACTGCTCGAAATAAACAGTTCTATCGTTTTTCGGTATTTTCCATGTTTTTTTTCTTTTATCTTCTACAGTAGGATTTGAGTGTTGTAATTTATATTGTATTACATCAATCAGTTACTATATGTTTCTTTTACCTTTTAACACTCGCCCCTTGTCATCCCTGTGAGAGAGATATTAATGTTGCAGGAACCCGACACCAGATGAATCTCTTGGGTTCACCTGGGATCCCATCACGGAGGATACCCAACGTCATCTGACCCTTAAACCCACTCCTGCCATGGAAGACGATGACAGACAGGAGGTAATGAATTAACCCAACCATTATCTTTAGTTATGTTTGGTCAGAATCAAGTTGTTTAATTTTTTTACGTATCAGCTCTTAAAATAGTCATCACCTGAGCAGTATGATTGATTGAGATATATTTGAGGAGTGATTATCCCTGTGTATAAGAAAAATTACCCTAGGTATTTATTCTTATCTGGTATGACTCCAGGATGTTGTAATTGACTCTGTGTTTACTTCTTCAGACGCGGGAGTTTTGGTTTGCACTTCCTCTCAAGCAAAACTTAATACTCCATCCTGAGAAGGTGTCTAACATCGTCTTAGTTAAAACTGACGAAGTGGAGGATGAGCCCACTCAGTCCGGGGAGGAGCCCACTCAGTCCGGGGATGAGCCCACTCAAACCAAGGACGAGCCCACTCAACAAGACACGGAAGAAAAAGTTGAAGAAATAGACCAGGAAACAGAACTTCCTAACACGAAGAAAGACGAACTTTAAATGTGAATAAATTCTTCGAAAACATTGATGATATTTTAATTATTTATGAATACTTTACAAGGGCAACACGATAACTAAAGGTTCCCTCACACAAACTACATGAATTAATCTAATATACTGTACATGTTTATGCTCACGTGTTCATGTATATGCTTCATTAAACAAGTAGGTCAGGATGAAGAGTCGTGTATACCATCGTCTCTTTATTTGGTTGAATTTTGGCGGGAAAAATCAGGAGTGTTGGTGTTCCATTAGCGAGACACATGATGTATGGCCAAGCTTTGTTCTCTCTCTGGCGCGGCCGCTGGTAATGGAGCGATTGTCTGCCTCCCTCCGTGATGACGCTGCCAACACTGCTTCCCTCCCTCCTGCCACCAGTGTCTGTATCTCACTCCCCCACTCCCCCTGCCACCACTGTCTATGCCTCACTCACCCCTGCCACCACTGTCTATACCTCACTCACCCCTGCCACCACTGTCTATGCCTCACTCCCTCTGCCGCCACCGTATGTGCCTCACTCACCCCTGCCACCACTCTCTATGCCTCACTCCCCCTGCCGCCACCGTATGTGCCTCACTCACCCCCGCCACCACTGTCTATGCAACCTAACCTAACCAGAGTTTGTAGGAGGATGACCATGAGAAAATAAGACCAGCAATGAACAGATGGAAATACAGTGTGTGATTATAGAACGATGTCGTAATGTCACTAGCAGACAAGGATATCACGTAGGATTACAGAGCTGGTAATAGCTGTAATGCCAACTAGCAGACTAGGATATCACGTAGGATTACAGAGCTAGTAATATATGCTGTAATGTCACTAGCAGATCAAGAAAACACCTTCCATCCAGAACAGACATCAATAACGAGATTATAACTAGCAATTACTGAATATTTTCTTCATGTAATATATATATCAATCTCTGTCTTCATCCTCTGCTCCGTGCTTGCATTTTCTTCTCGTCTCTCCCTCTCTTCCCATATTTCATAATCAAGTTTCCTCCTTCCCCTGTTTGTGAATTTTTTTGTTCCCTTATTTATCGTAATCTATCCCATTTCCTTTTGTTGTTTAGTCTTTTCCATCTAGTGCTTTTATTGACGTTGTGAGCCCTGTAAAGACTTGCTTGGGCATTTTTTCTTCGACGTTTGATTTACCTTCCTTTCAATACTTATCTGAAGGTAGATTTTTGTTCCTGTGTTTACGGTTTCGTTTCATATTATTAGGATTTCCAAATTTATCGTTCATTCTCCCTCCTTTTATCTTGGTGTTTTTATTTCCCCTCTTCATCCCATTTTCATTTTTATTCTCCTCTCCTCTTTCCCTCTCTCACGTACATAGTTTCTCTCTCTCTTCCTCTCTCTCTCTTTGACTCACTTCTTCCTTTCATTTATTCATTCCTTTTTATTTTGTTTGCGTGTGATGTCGGAGATATATCTTCACCCTTCTCCTCTCTCATATTTATCTTGTCTTTCTCGTCTGTCTGTTCCACTTCCCCCTTCCTCCTCCTACTCCACCTCAACCTCTTCCTACTCTGCAACCACACGCCCCCCCCCCCCACACACTTATGCTGGTCTTCTCTCTGTCTCTCTCTATCTCTCTCTCACTCTCTTTCTCTCTTTCTCTCTCCCTACGGTGACGTTTGGCAGTCTACTCTTAGATTGAGAGTTACGAGAGCACTCAGCAGCGAAGTGAGATGTTCATAACTCTCTGATGACACTAAACAGCGATTTCACCTTAGGCCGGCGGGGGGAACGAGAGCAGAGGGAGGCCCGGGTGAGGAGAGCTGGCCCGCTCCTGAAGAAGAGCTGGCCCAGAACCCAGCCATTCCCGCCCATTACCCACTTTTGTTGCCAGAATTATGGAGAATTATGACTCGCAGAAAGAGATCCGAGAGGTATTGTAATGGAGACTCCACCTTCAGTTTCGTTTTGGTGGTGGGGGAGGGGGGGAAGGGGAGGGGGAGCTTGACCTGTAGGTGGTTGAAGGGGGTGAGAGTAAAGTGGGTTGATCCTCGGCTTATAAAAATGAATAGCGAGGGACTACATCAAGAGAGAGAGAGAGAGAGAGAAACCATATCAACACGTCTATCAAGGGTGGAGTAAATGACCTGTTGAATAAACTCACTTAACCTGACCTGAAAAAAGTGGGACTTAACAAATTGTCTTTCATGGGCAGAAAAAATTTACACCCAGCGTATTAAAGGTTCCTGCTGCACGTAATTTAAATGACCAATAACCACCCTGGTCATTTAAACACTATTGTGATGTTATTGTTGTTATTATTGTGGTGTTAGTGTGGTGTTAGTGCTTCAACAGAACAGGTCCTCGTCTCTGCAACAAACAGATCTTGTACTTCTCTTGCACACACACACACACACACCCACACACACACACACACACACACAACCCTGAAGAAGTTAACTAAGATGGATGATACAACACAGCCTGGCATAACATGATTGGGAAACTGTGTAGAGTGTGTATTAAGTATCTGTCAACACTAGTTATGACCTGCTGCACGTCATGGATAGGAAGGAACGCGTGTTGAGGGGGCGGGAGGTGAATTTGGGTTTTAAATGGAAGTATAGTTTATTGTGAGGAGGGGAGGCTTTTGTGTGTGTGTGTGTGTGTGTGTGTGTGTGTATGTGTGCGTGTGTGTGTGTGTGTATGTGTGTGTGTGTGTGTGTTGACTCAAGTTAAAGCACAAGAAATCAATTAAAATATGGCATCGAAATTACACTGGGACTCTACCTTAACTAGATACGTTCACTTAGCACCACCAGTTAGGAGACAAAATTAACACTGAGACTCTTATAATAGTCAGAGGAAGAAGGGTATAAGAGACACGATAGAGGGAAATAGATGTATGATATAAGATGCAATAGGGTGGAGTATAAGTGGAGTATAAGTGGAGTATAAGTGGAGTATAAGTGGAGTGTAAGTGGAGTATAAGTGGAGTATAAGTGAACCTATATAACTTATAACAAATTTCTATCCTTCACGACATAATTAAAAAAAATGAATCTCAATAATAGTTTCAACTTGTGATATATTCTGTAATCCTGATCTTTTTTTTTTTTCATAAGACTCGAATTGTCATCTTAATTAAAAACAACTAACTTTCAAATATTAATCACAATCTATTATAAATTTGAAATTAAAAAAAAATAGCAATATCACTTACACTTGAAAAATTAAATAAAGTCTTCCTATGACTCGAAATATATTAGAAAAATTTACAATATATTATTTTGATATCAATATCGGCAAGAGAGGTTAGGTTAATGTTGTGAACTTGCCAACATCACACACACACACACACACACACACACAAGAAGCAGTCTTATACCCTCTGCACACGACACACTGTTGAGACAGATGTGACCACGACTACTCTAATGAAAGTTGGTGACAAATGAAACTCGACCACCACTGTTGTCGAGACATCCACCACCGTTACCATTGTTGGCGAGACATCCACCACCACCACCACCACCACCACTGTTAGCGTGACATCCACCACCTAACCTAACCTAACCTAACCATACCAGACTCTCATGGGTGACACCGGAGATTGACTCGTGAATATTTTAGGCTCGTGTGTTTGGGCGGGTCGTCACTCGTGTCCCCTGTACAAGGCAGAGATCACCATGGCGCTCCCTGGCGTGTTTGGCCTGGGCGGCTTTCGCCTGTATAATGGGTTACGTACCTGTAACTAGCTGGTATAAATAAACCTTTTTCTATTATAAAAGGAGGGTAACGTTTCTATAACTAGCCGGTATAAATTGATATGTTTCTATTATAAAAGGGAGGGGGTTACGTACCCACCCACAACCTTAGTCCCACTGTTGGGGATCAAACCAAGAACCCAGGGGGTGAGATGCTCGCTTGATAACATATACCACCGTCATATACCAGCACTTATAAAGGCAATTACTGAGTATAAGTGGAAAAGGATCCAGTTCAGTGAGCAGTAAAGGTCAGGTATAAGGTAAACTACACCTGTTTGATTAATTAATTAACCTATATTACCTGGTGTCACGACAACTGCCAACGACCCACACAGCTCTATCAGGTGAGACAGCGACCCACACAGCTCTACCAGGTGAGCCAACGACTCACACAGCTCTACCAGGTGAACCAGCGACCCACACAGCTCTACAAGGTGAGCCAGCGACCCACACAGCTCTACAAGGTGAGCCAGCGACCCACACAGCTCTACCAGCCAGCGACCCACACAGCTCTACCAGGTGCACAGCTCTACCAGGTGAGCCAGCGACACAGCTCTACCAGGTGAACCAGCGACCCACACAGCTCTACCAGGTGAACCAGCGACCCACATAGCTCTACCAGGTGAAGCAGCGACCCACATAGCTCTACCAAGTGAACCAGCGACCCACACAGCTCTACCAGGTGAACCAGCGACCCACACAGCTCTATCAGGTGAGCTAGACTCCTCCTTAAATCAACCGCTTTAAGAATAACTGAAACAATGTGGAGGTGAGAGCTGAAAAATTCAAGAGCTTCAGCAGGCTCTTGGAACACCGAAAACGACAAAGTTGTGGAAATGTGGAAGTGAGGATCGTAAATATGGCGCTGAATGAAGGTAAAATGAGAAGATCAACAGTATAGATGGCTGTAGTGAGGAGTGGGTGGATCTCAATCGGAATATTTCACAAGACGGAAGAAAAACAACGCCATAATTGGCCTTGGGAACCATCTATGTGAACTCAAACAGGAAGAATAATTCACTTAAGATATATAAAGAAAATAAATAATTGTCAAAAAGTTTATAACCTCAGTCATTAGATTCCAAGCCTCACACAACAGATAGATTTCTCACAAAACCGACACAAGTCTTCCTGTACCGCTAAAGTTCCACCTCTCATCTGCATCCAACATTTCCCCCCCTGAGTTGTCCACACTGCTTAAGTCTTCACACACGCACGTCAACACCTTCAGAGATGTGCTATATTTCGTCTTGGCCTCTGACGGCAAGATGGTCAAATTCCACACTACCTATC